TTTTATAATTTATTTTAAATAAATATATATTTATTAAAATATAATAACTGGGTCCCGCTTTAGCGACCAGTGTTGGTCGCTATCAACTTATCCTTCAGTTAGCGACCAACTTTGGTCGCAAGTTTTAAATTATATATATTTATATTTTATAAGTTTTATAAAATAATAATAAAATTATTAAAAAAATTTATGTGGGTCCCGCTTAAGCGACCAACATTGGTCGCTAATCTCAGTATATCTTTGACCAAACAAGTCTGACCAGTCCAGTCAACAGTTTGACTAAATTTGCGACCAAATAGCGTCCAACTTTGGTCGCTAAAGTATTTCAAATATTTTTTTTATTATTTTCGGCAGTTTGGCGACCAACTTTGGTCGCTTTTTTTGACAGACCAAATTTGGTCGCTAATCTTTGGTCGCTTTTTACAGGGATTCTAGTAGTGATAAGGCTTTCCTAAGTTCTTTTGGCTTGTTGTATCTTTGTTGTCAATAATATCATAGAAAAATATATAGAAAATAGATACTGCCTTCAAGTAACAAGGATTTAGCTTTAGCAAATTAATAAAACTCGGACACGAGCTACTATAGGGAACATTTTGGGAAATTGCGACTTAGAGACTTAAATTGTCATTCCTTACGTAAGAAAAAGAAAGGCACACACGTACAACTTGTATTTTGTCTCTTTCCGCCCCAAACAACCAGAAAAGCAAATTACGCAGTTACTGCCGACCATTGCATGCATGTTTTACAAAGACACATACAATGAACTAAACCCCCAAAACGATATACCCTGTACCATATATCCTAAGTTTCAGCTGTACCGCCCGAATAGTCCACAGATTGTGCAGTAGTTTACACTTGGGTCGGCAATCTCTCGTACGTGTTAGTAGTTTGATAAGACCATAAATGGCCGGTACTCTCTCTCTATATATATATGTGCATGTTGAAACGTACGGTTCCTACAAATATCCATATTTAATTTGCATAGTTCTTAAATAAATGGCTTCCTCGTTAATGAGCAGAAACGGAGTGGAAAAAAACGACAAGACGTTTCACAAGTTTTTTGAAACATGGCTAGCTGAGCAGAAGCAAGAATTGAAAGTGCTGGTTTCTGCCTCGAGAGATGTAAGTAAAGGTAATAATAATGTGGTGGACGAGAGGGTGTTGGTGCCACTCATTAAACGGGTTATACAACACTATGAGGGGTATTATGGGGAGAAGTCAAAATATATAGAGGAAGATGTTTTTGGGATGTTAAATCCTACATGGAGGAGTAATCTTGAGGGAGCTTTCTTATGGATTGGAGGTTGGAGACCAAGCATGGCCTTTCACTTGCTCTATTCAAAATCAGGGTTGCAATTCGAAGCTTGTCTTCCCCAGTTGATTAGAGGAATCACAACGGGTGACTTAGGGGACCTCTCTCCTGACCAAATAGGTAAGCAAGTGGTCAATTGAACACTCTTTCGTTCGTTTATATTGTGCAGGTAAGTAGCAGCGGATTCAGTATTTTAAGGAAAAAGAGTTTAGGTATGGGTGCTTACGCAATATTTATCTAAATATTTTTATAATTACCTATATTATTTTACTAAATCAGGTCAAAGATAATGGGTGCTTGAGCATCCATAAGTGACCCATAATCGGTACTAGATCCGCCACTATATGTATATTAAATATTATTCTCTCGTCCCAAATATTCTTTTCGGATTTCGAAAGTCAAACAAGTTGTTATTTAACTAACTACGACTTTTTCATATACTTTTTAAATATTTAATTTGTTAATTATTGTGATTTATAGTACTTTTTATGTACTATAAGTCGAACAATTAATAAATAATTTATGTGAATTCATGGTCAAAATTAAGAAATTTGACTTTCGAAATTCGAAAAATATTACTCCCTCCATTCCTTTTGTGTGAACCTGTTTGACGTGCATGGAGTTTAAGAAAAATAAGAATTTTTGAATTTGTGATCCTAAACAAGTGAAAAAGGAGTCCAGAGTATTTGTGTGGTTGTAAAAGCTCTCATTAAAGATATACATTGGAAGTTTAAGCTAAATTGTTTCCAAATTTAAAAATGAGTCATTCTTTTTGGAACGGACCAAAAAGGAAATAGGTTCACATAAATTGGAACGGAGGGGTATTTCTTTTTTAAACAGAGGAAGATATATATTATGGATGTTCAGATTTCTTTTAAGAAAAAAATTATTTACTTTTTTTTAAAGTTTGAATACCTATAGTGAAATTTCTGGCTACGCAGGTAAGGTTGATGAACTGCAAAAGAAAACTATATGGGAGGAAAAAAATTCGAGTGAGAAACTAGCCAGGGTTCAAGAAAGTGTTGCAGATGCATCAATGGTGGAGTTATCCCATATTGTGACTCAGCTGATGATGATTAGTGGAAGTGGAGGAGGAGGAGGAGGAGGAAAAATACTCGATGAAGAAGTGGAAGCAAATCTGGCAACAAAGGAGGAAGGTCTAGTAATAATCCTGCAAAAGGCAGATAATCTAAGGCTAAACACTCTCAAGGAAATTTTAGCCATTTTAACACCAACTCAAGCAATTCATTTCCTGATTGCTGCTGCTGAGCTCCATTTAAGGCTTCACGAGTGGGGCAAGATAAAGGATGCAACTACTACCACCACCATCACCAACCATAATCACTTGATCTAAACACACATGTGTGTCCACGTGTAGCAAATAGTACAAGTACCTAAAAATGAAAAAAAAAAAAATTAGTTTAATTTGGTTGTAGAAACATGCTTATTGCATTTCAGAAGCCTTTCATTTGTAATAGAATTCCCTAATGTGTTTATTCGTGTTATATATAGAGTTATCTATAGATTATCGGGAAGAGGGCCAAATATAACCTTTTATTACGAGAAAAGGTTTAAATATACCCTTTGTTATATTTTAGGTTCAAATATATATACTCTTGTCGTAATACTATTGGTTCAAATTATGGGTGTTAACTGGGTGGGCCGGGCCAGTATTATTTGGACCCGTACGGGTTTGGTTCCGGGCCGGTTCCGGGCTTGCTCTTAACGGGTTTAACGGGTTCGGGTTAATCCGGGTAAAAAATGAACCGTACGCGTTACGGGTTTAGGGGGCCGGGCCGGGCCGGGCCGGGTTTAGTGTTTTTTTAATTTTTTTTTAATATTTTGTATAACTACTGTAAGTTATATTAGTACTTTGTATTAATATAAAGAATACAAGAAAGATGGGGAAAAATTGCACTTATAAATTGCAAGTGCTATATTTATTTCAAAATTACAAAATTAAAGTTTGCATTTAAAAAGTAAATTAACAAAAAATAGTAAAACTAAATTTTTATGCATAATAAATTAATAATACTTCAAATTAATCTAACAAACTAAAACATTAAGCATAAATACGTCTAATAATTTAAAATAACACAAATTGTCTTAAAATCTTAAAATAACACATATATAGCATATTTTAAAAATAATACGTTACCATCATATTCTATGATTTTAACATTTATAGCTTTATACCCTAAATATATACACTATATGTTAAATTCCAACAATTTTAAACTATGTTAATTAGTATGCAATAATTGGTATATTCATAGTATATTCATGGTATATTAATAGTATATTTATAGTATATTCATGGTATATTATGGTATATTCATGGTCTGGGGCGGTCCGGGCCGGGCCGGGCCGGTTAAACCGGTTAGAGGCACTATTCATTGGACCGGATTTAATGGGTCCGGTTAACCGGTAAAAAATAATAAATGGTCCAACCCCCTCTACCCCTCCTACCCAGCCCACCCGGCCCCTTATGAACCGGGCCGGTCCGGTTCCGGTTTTAACCGGTCTAGGCCGGTCCGGTTCCGGGTCAACCCGGCCCATTAGACACCTTTAGTTCAAATATGCCCTACTCCGTTAAGTTTGTCCGAGGTGGACATCCAATCCTATATGACATTGACATTTGATGAGGCGGATGTCACGTGGCATGCCACATCATCACTCCTAACCCATTTAAGCCCTTTCCTCTGCCATAATTAGAGAAAGGATGGCTTAGGAAAATATGAAACTACAAGAGAACACACAGATTAATATCACTCAAGTGCAGGCGTTATAAGAACATTGGAACGGTTTGTTTTGCACTATATGATTGCACAAATGAATTTGATGTTATATGTAATCTTTGATTTTCCTTTCAAGGGTGTGTAGTGCACTGGCGTCTCTTTCTTCTGTAGCTCAATATTAACTTCATCGTTCTTATGTCTTAGTGTCTCATGTATTTCACCAAGTTCTAGCGAGTATCAATTACAGAGTATTATTAATGTAGTTTCACATGGCCAAACTTGGATGTTCTGATCTGGTTATTTGACATAGAGAACTTTTATAGAAGTGATCTTATTTGTGAAACTGGATTGCACTTGGTTGTACCAGTCGTAGTTTTTACAATTCTGCATCACTATCTGATTTTCATATATAGGGGAAGTTGAGGGAAACAAAAGCTGCAACATTATATCAAGAATTGAAGAGGCAAGTTGCGGGAAATAAAAGCTGCGACATTACATTTTCAGTGGCTCACTAGAATGTATTTTGCTGTAGTTGTAAATTCTGGAAGCGTGTGAATTCAAGGACCAATAAAAAAGCATTGTTGCAAATACCATACTGAGATTGAGCTTAATCTTGTATGAAAGATCAATGGGGTTTTAGTAACCAATAATATCATAAACACTTTTAACAAGTTTCAAAGTATGTGATGGGGAAAAACTGTAATAGTTATAGCGTGAAAGGCATGCAAACCTATGGCATATTATCTTCTGTCATTCGGATCATGTTCCTTTTAAGCTTTATTTTTATATTGATTTGTTCATTTATTTATTTTACTTTGGTGGAAGTCATCCACCAAATTAGTTGAATGCTCAATTGCAGTATCCACTAGCTTTATTGGCACGATATAAGTGAGAATCAGTTCAAAGTGCCCCTTAGAATATTGGGTTTGTGCTGGCACGGGCTATCTCCACCTAGTTTTCTATATAATTGTTATGAATTTTGCCGTTTACGTTAACAATATACTTTTATTGATTTACATAAGAGGAGATATTTAAATTTAGTATGTAAATAATCCAAAAGAATAAAAGATCATATCATATACTATACGATGCAAAAAAAGTACATGCTTAGTAAAAAAATAAAAAAAAGTAAATACTTAGTTTTGGCAGATTAATTATCCTGTTTTATAGGATATCATGAACCTAAATAGCACGGGCTAGCCAGTTTTCGGACTAGTCATTCAAAAATAGCCAGAGTTTGCAAAGTCGTTGAAAAATAGCCACTATTAGGGGTGTACATAGGTCGGGTTGGTTCGGATTTTCTAATTACCAAACCAAACCAATTGTATCGGGTTATTAAATCTAAAGACCAAACCAGACCAATAAAAGTCGGGTTTTTCAATCTCGGTTTTCTCGGGTTTTTCGGCGTTTGTTCGTTTTTTTTTTCAATAAAGTTTTCATAGCACAAAATATAGAATTTGTGCTCCAAATATTTCTTTAATCCTAATAAAATAGAACTATATAAGGTGTTTTTCGATAAAATAACATAAATATGAGACGAGTCATGGTATTATACTAAAATATTCAACAATAAAGATAATAAAATCTCATAAAATAAGTATTATTAATAAGTCATAATGAAAATGTCACGATCCCAGTTCGCCCTCCGTGAACATGTCGTGACGGCACCTAGTCCCTACGACTAGGTAAGCCTAAGAATGCGGAAGATAAACCAAAATTACGGAAGAAAGTAAATAAAACTGAACTAGTAAAATAAACGGTGTTTAAGGTGCCGCTCGGTACATACCACAACAATTCTCGAAGCTAACAAAATTCCCAAAACCCGGAAACTCACAAATCACAAGCTAAGGGATACATAAGAGGCTCTGACTCGAGAATGTCTATACAAAGGAGAAATACTGAAGGAGCTATACTTATTACAGAAAGCTGGAAAGGGACTCCTCGGTCTGCGGACGTAGCAGATATACCTCGAAGTCTCAACCGATACGCTTCCTTCCAAGGCTGACAGAACAGAGTGGGAGTACCTGTATCTGCACAACAAAATGTGCAGAAGAGTAGCATGAGCACACCACGGCGGTGCCCAGTAAGTATCAAGACTAACCTCGGTGGAGTAGTGACGAGGAACAGTCAAGACACCTCCCGGTCAAATAAACAGTATAATCATAGGAATAATGGAAACGATATATAAATATGTAATGACTGCATGAATGACCAAGAATGCTACAATTCACAACAAGGGAAATGGACAACAAGCAACGACGCGAATATAATAAATGATGATACGAAATGACGGCAGAATCACAATCCAAATCCTAAGGTCACAAAACAGCAAGGGGAAAACAAGTCAATAACTCATATCCTACAATGATGTTCACATAAGATCTTATTCAACCCTTTTAACAATTTTACCAAGTTTCGGACAAACCATAACTCACGACAACCCAACATCTGAAATCTAACACTTGGCATCCTGTGCCCCATCAAACTCACGGTCATGCTGATAACTCACTGGCTAACTAGGGGCACTCTCACGTATAAAATGGTTAAACGAGGGCGTACCTCCACCCTTAGCAAAATCAGGAGGAATTCACCTCTAATAGGAGTGTTCATCTACGTGTATGCTTGTGCGAGTGTTTTTACCAAGAATTCTACCAACTAGTAAACATGAAAAGGAGAACGGACCGCACGTACGATGTTTCCTCACAACTTCCAAGCAGTAAAGCTCATACAGGTAAGCAACCCACAATCAAAATATTAAACAAATAGGAATGCCTTCACAGTCCGTCACAATTCTTTACAATCAACCCCTGACATAGCCCACCTTATTTCGCCACGTGTGCAATTAATAACATAATAAGCGCCGCCTTATTTCGCCACACGTGCATCATAATGTTCCCACCTTATTCTGCCACATGCGCAACCCACATATAAGCATATAACATATCCCGCCTTATTACGCCGCATGTGCAAAACATCGATAGCAACAATAGCACGGCAAAGACCTCGTGCAACCCTTCAACAACAACCGCATAGTAGAAACCTCATGCATCACAGTATCAACAACCGCACGGCAGAAACCTCGTGCATCACAATATCAACAACCGCGCGGCAGAAACCTCGTGCATCACAGTCTCAAGTACCACACAACAAATGACAATATATACAGGAACGAAGCAAGAGAATCAACTCAGGTATTTCCGTTCACCAAAAGATGGTACAACTAACTCATAAGGAATAACCGTAACAGAGAAATACTAAGCGCAATAAGAACAACTCAACAAGGAGAAATAATACGAAACAACGATTCCAAAATACTCAGTTCAACAACAAGGAAGTTAACATGAATCAATTAATTACAATTAAGGAAATATCAACTAAACATAGAATATCTAATTTTTTTCCAATTAAGACCAATTAATTACACGAGAGATAGAAATAATGCTTTTCAGATAAAGTCAAGCAGTTAGGAATGATAATGTGACTAAAGAAGGGTAAATGTCTACAGTTAAATAAGTAAAAGTCAATTAGGCAACAAGAATAACCAAAAAGGGCGAATAAATTCCAAGTAAGACATGTAGAGGTGAAATTAATAGCAGGGAACTCAATCGTATCCAGAACAACTTCATATTCGGTGATTACAAGGATCTAAGAGCCTAAAAGGGGAAATTTACCACAAATAAATCCGAGCACGCACTCGTCACCTCGCGTGCAAGGAATACAATCAACAGGGAAGACTCAAATCCTAAGGGGAAGTCCCCCACACAAGGTTAGGCAAGATACTTACCTCGAA